CATGTTGACCTTTTATTTAATGTCGTTGAATTTTCGGTTTCTAATGCAAAAACCCATTTTCTTTTATAAACATTCATGACTGTTTTTCTGAAAATTCCGGCCAGAACCGGCCAAGAACTTCTCCTCGTGATATCCTCAAAATTGCTTGAATAAGTCTTTTCTGTTCTTTTCTTTTTCTTATATATATAAAAAGTTAAAACCTAAAAAATGATTGAACCTTAAAATCCCACTTAAAAATAATTATTCTATAAATTAATTTTGGGATTTTTTTAAAAAAAAACGTTTCGCAAGAAAGAAAAGGGCAGAAACGGTGCGAATAAAACAGAAAACAGTTTGGTGTTCGGTTTTTCCACTCAACGTAAAAAAGAAGATCCTCTTTGTGCTCTTTTTTGTAAATGAATGACATTTGGGCCGTACACGTGTCTCTCATGGGCCCATAAGTGGACTTGTCATGAAGGCCCATTTGACCACCAGATACTACTACAAAGCTAGTGTACTGTATTTTCCAACTACCTGCCAAGACCAAAGAACCTACAACTAAGTGACAAGTGTGTCCAGATGTGTTGATTCGACACGTGTAGGGTCGAGATTGTAAAGCGCACCGACCAGGTCGCTTTCGTCAGTTAAAGTGCGTCCCCTAGTGAAGAAAGGGCTGGTGCCTAGGGAAAAAAAACGGTTAAGAAGAGCATGTCTTGATAGTGACGAGTTGTTTCGTGACAATATCCATTTTTGTTCCCACTTTCCTTGAACAATCCTTGTAGACCTTAAATTCTAGTTCCTAGGCTCGTCCTAATTTTAGGGTTTTGTTTGGTTTTTGCATCTTTCTTAATTTTCCTTTCATGTTTAAGCACTAATTAATGATGCTTTAAGAGGCTTTGTTATAAGTTTATCTAATTAGTTTAATATTAATTTATTATTTTTAGTATTACACGAATCGATAAAACTATGAAAAGCAATCAATTTATTAAATTCAAATTCAGTGTTATATTACAAGTCTATTAAAATATATGAAATTAATTTAATACATAAATTGCTAATTTATTGTTGAGTATGGGTATTTAATTTTTTTTTTTACACGTACAATTACTAAAATATTAAACATCTACGAAAATTCAGCCATGATTTAGGGGCTAAAGGTTAGTGATTTAACTATAATTAGCATATAGGATTAGTTAGCCAATAATGTATACATTGCACTTAGGAATAATAATTATATATAAAAAAAAACTATGTGTAGGAAGTTGAATAATATAAGAATTTTAAAATAAAAATGCATGTATGAAACCAAGAGAAAGCTAATGGCCTTTATTTTAATCAAAAGCCCATTAATCTCGCTTTGATTTGATGATCTAAATTAGTATTGAAAAAGGGACCTTGAAAGTCATTAATTAATTGATTAGCCCATGAAAAGTATGATTAGCAAAGACACCATCATCATCATCATGCATTGCCTGCCTTTCCACCTAATTAACTCAATTATATATCGAGTTCTTTTTTTTAATTTCTGCTAATCAAATTAATTAATTTTCATTGCAGCAGTTTCCATGTATTTTCTTAAAGACTTTGACACTTTGCTAGGGTCTATGTGGTTTTGCCTGTCTGGTTCTGAGATTCATTTTTGTTCACTTATTTTTTATCAAGAACGTGTCCATTGCCCAATAGCCAACCATTTCTCCTACTTACACGTGATTTTGGCCTTTCTTTCTTGTATTTTCTAACTTAATTTTGCTTCTCAACCTTCGTGTTGTTTTCTCTCTTCATTCACACTTTCGGTTTCAAGAAGTCAATTTCTTTGTCGTTTATATATATGTATATTTGTTTTCACTTCTTTTTTTGTGATAAAATTGTATGCCATATTTCTTTATAGACAGGGACTTCATGGTGGGGACAAGTGTCCTTTTGGGACGTGGCTTGTATAGGGTCATTTGTTGTCTTAAGATACAAGTCATGCAAAAAAGTATCTTCGATATTGTTTTTCCTAATAAGAGTTTGTTTTTGTTTCTGTTTTCTTAATTAAGGGATATAATAAATCTGGTTTTTTTTTTTTAAGTGATCACCTGGTGGGTATCTAAAGTGGTTTCTAAATTCGAATTAGGTGACAAAATGAGAAAATTTTATGTTATACAAAAAAGTGATTTCTGAATTTGAATTAGGTGACAAAATAGAAAAATTTTATAATACATACGAAATAACTAGTGGTATGTATGATAATTATTCATTGGATCCACTTTAAAAAGAGAGATGACATATATATATATATATATATATAATTATATTCATATCCATAAAAAATGATAAGAAGATTTTCACCGATGTCAAATTTTTTTATTTTCTTTTTTCTTTTTTTTTCTCTTTTTGTGCGTCTACTAATTACTCCTATGTATTATAAAATTTATCAACAAAATGGGTTGTTTTTGTTTTTGGCCAAAAAGATGGATTTAGGGTTTGCAACTTTGCATGCCTAGCATAATTTATGATAAATCGAACTTTTTTCCTTGTAGATTTATTGGGTGAACGTGGATCGTTAATAAATAATTAACAACATATGTATCATTGTTTCTTGTTAATTTGATGGAGTTGATGTCTTGTCTTTGGTAATTTAGCTGTTTTCTTTCTTTTTTTTTTTACTACATAAAAGTAATTAACTAAGTTAGTGTCTGTCTCTATCCAATGGCAGGTGAAATGAAACTTGTTCCACATGGAATTCACTTTACCATGAGGAAAATTTTCTTGGAAGTAATAATTTTGTTCTAGAACTACTTTTTATGTTAGTGGAAAATTAAAAGGAGTTGTACGTAATTGAATTAATTGTAGATAAAGTGTTGATTTGCATTCGCCTTCATGGCTTTTTACCCTCAAGAAAATATATATTTTTTATTCAAAGATTAAAGATCGATCTTGTCCAAGTTAAAGGATCATAAAAGTCTTTGGGAGATTCCTATGAATGTTCCTTGAAAAAGTTCACAATCTTGCTGTGTGATGATTTTCTGATTAATCTATTTCTCATTTTCCTTGAAACTTAAGAGAAATTAACTATACATAGAAGAATTTCTCTCTACTTTAAACGTTTGTAAGAGTATTCTAGTCAAAATTTTACTCCCATCCCAAAACAACCATGCATGATGTTTTTACCCAAAAGCACTTTAATCACTACTTTCTGATAAAATATTGAAAGACTCACTTTTGGTTTTGCTATAGTTTGAGTAAACACATGATTCACGTATGAAAGAATTAAGATATTCTTTTTTCTTTTTTTCTTTTTTTGGTTACTTTATATGTAATTGCGAACAATATACTAAAAATATAGTCTTATTCCTGCATTTTTGTCTAATGTTTTAAACCACTTCAACACTCTTTCCGGTCAGTATCAGCTGAATCGGCAGATTAGAACCCCACCCCACAACAACTTTTTCAAGCTAGCCAAGCCATGTATATGTATAGTCATTGAATGTCACCTTTTTACTATAAATATTAATCAATTTTCTGTTCCTTTTGTTTTCATGTTGTTTCAATTTATGCACTTTAGTTACGGTAGACAAAGTCACATTTAGAAAGAGACCTTTCTTTTTCTATCAAATTCCAAGAGACAATTTCGTTTGCTTTATAACACTTGTAGCTTGATGATTTCATGACAAAATTCTTGATAGTGGCTTGTCAATATATATGAACCACAAATACGTGTTTTGGTACTACTTTCAACTGTGAAGATGAATATTCTAAAAAAAAAAAAAAGAGAGAGAGACAAGACGAGGAATCATGAAATTAAAATTTTGTTTGAAGTAAAGCTAGATTCCAATTTAAATTTAGTAGGTAAGTCGAGCCAAAATGATTTTTTTTTTTTTTTTTTTTGAAGGAGATGCCTTGGCTACCTACTCCCAATTTGATTTCCCTCAAAAATTTCCCGGTTACCCAACAGAGATGCACCAATCTCTATTGAAGTTTGGCATGGTTTCCATTTCATTTTAACCTCGTAACAGAAAGCAAAGGAAATCTTAACTATCTCAAAAAGATTTAGAGAAGATTAAAGTACTGTCATATTCCAGGGATTGAATGGTCGGTCCACCAATCAAGTTTACAGTTCAGGGTTTTTTTGGCACGAGTGCTTGGGATAATTTTTAGTCTATTTTGATATGAAGTCTAACATGTTGCATGATCGATCACTTTCACGTAATGAAATAACAAGAGAAAGTATCTATATAATATAATCATCTAAAGGGTCCATCAGGAGTCAAATTCAAGAATTCGATACACACTATCTTGGAATCATCTCTTGTATACGTAGTTGAATCCGTATAATATAAAAGTTTATGTACCTAATAGGATATCATAAAAGAAGAATAGGGTAGCTGGACAAATCCCAAAACATCACCTGATAAATCTTCAAGGGGTAACCAACATAATTACTAGCATATTAATTATCAATTTTGAACATTTATATGCATGGATGTTTTTACATGTTGAAAAGGATGCACGTCAGTATAAATTTTTGTACTATACTCCAAAACCCACTCCTTGTCAGTCCTTCTCATTTTGGTATGCTTTGACAATGATATAGATTGATATATATATGATCAAAATATAATTAATGCATAGAGGTCATTGCATGGTTGGTTAATGTCATTGTTAATGCACTTTTGAACATCTTTTAAAATTAGTCACATTGTTTCTTTTCTGTTATTGTTTATTTAGATGTTTACATGCTTTTTTCTCTTTATATAGGTTTGATCTAATTGTGGGAACGAACTCAAGTGTTTGGTTTGTTGGCTTCATTGCAGGTGCTTTAGAAATTAGCCAGCTGAAGAACTCTTAAGGCACTAAGCCAGCATATACAAGTCAATTTTTCAGGTAAATTTAATGGGGAGTAGAATTTCATGAAGCTTTAGTCGATCTTCTTGAATTTTTGTTTTGATATTGTTTTCTTCAATGCTTATTGAAGTACCTTTGCTTCTTAATCTGTGTTGTTGACAGATAATAATCTTTTGAAGATTATGGGGAGTAGAATGTTTAAGAGAAATTTCGCTAAGTTCAACCAGGCCATGGGATTTCAGAGATCTTCCAACTGGCAAAAGGTGCAGCATGGTAATGATCTCTCTACAAATGAGAGAGCACCAAATTCATGTCATCCTGTGACCAATGAAGCTGTTTCTGATGATGCAAATTACAGTTCATGGATGGTGAGTTTTACCATCAGTATTTTTCCATTGCACTGAAATCAAACTTGTGTCTAATTTCCAGCAAGCATCTGACCACAGTATGTACCAAATTATTAGGTGGACCATCCTTCTGCATTGACCTCATTTGATCAAATGATGAAAGATGCTAAGGGGAAGAAGATCGTCGTGTTTTTAGACTATGACGGTACTCTGTCGCCGATCGTAAATGATCCTGATCGCGCTTTCATGTCTCCTGAGGTTAGCACTAATGTTCATGCATGTGAAGAAATTTTTCGATACATGATCACACGCAATGCTTTCCTCTCTCGTATCCCAGTTAAATCCACATGTATATGAGAGAGAAGAGCCATGCTGAATGTATTGAACAATTACATGAAAATAATGTGAACTATACCAGTATTGTTGAAGCAAAAAATTCATGAATCATTAAACTCTAAATGTGCAGATGCGTGCAGCAGTTCGTGAAGTTGCTAAATGCTTTCCAACTGCTATAATCAGTGGTAGAAGCAGAGACAAGGTAACAACACAGAATTTTGGTTGCTTATAGCAATCTTTCTATTTATTATAGGTTTCTGGGAAAATTTTTATGAGGCAAATTTTGAGAATGCCAATGGTTTCTTTTCTGCAGGTGAAAGGATTTGTACAGTTGAATAACATATATTATGCTGGAAGCCATGGGATGGACATTATGGCACCACCTAGGCCTGTTCGGTCCAGTGATGGAAAATATCACACTGTATCCCTTGACAGAAAGGTAAATATATATATGATCAGTCCATTTTTTTCCCTCTTTTTTGGTCAAGACACATGTTCTTTGATTTAAACCATGAGAATTAGTTAAGAAAGAACACAAAGGGAAAATTCTCAATCGTAGGATGGTTTTAACAAAAAAGAAAGGACGTTCTTAATTCCCTCTTAACTGATCTCATGCTTTGTTCAATTTGTTAGGGCAATGAAGCTGTCTTTCAACCTGCTCAGAAATTTTTGCCTGCAATGCAAAAGGTAAGCCAGCTTCTTTGTTTTGAAGGGCCAATTTTGGTGTTACCAGGCACCAATTCGACCTTGTATCTCACTCTGGTTATGGTCATGGAGTGACAATTTCTCTGTGTTTGTAACAGATTTTGAAAGAATTGGAAGTGGCAGTTAGGAAAATACCAGGTGCCAGAGTAGAGAACAACAGATTTTGTGTCTCTATACATTTTCGACAAGTTCGACAGGAGGTAAAATCAAGACCTAAGCTCAAATCTTTTATTGCAGTTTCCTTTCAGCATCATCACCACCACGATCTAATTAAGTTGGTTTCAATGAGAAGAAGGGATGTTGAAATACAAATGTTGAAATACAAAGATATTTTTCTTTTGAATTCAGGATTATGGGATGTTAGAGGAGAAGGTGAAATCTATACTCAAACACTATCCAGACTTTCGCTTGGGTTGGGGTAAAAAGGTATGCATAAGTCTTTAACATTAATTCTATCTCTAAGTGTCTATAACTGATTGATAAGACTGTCCTCTAACATTTCTGTAAATCTAAATGAAGGTTATGGAAATACGACCATCAATAGAATGGGACAAAGGCAATGCTCTAGAATATTTTCTCGATACTCTAGGGTTAGGTAACTGCACCGACGTTCTCCCAGTATACATTGGAGATGACAGAACAGATGAAGATGCTTTCAAGGTACTGTTCAAGAAAAAACTATTGCTTTGGCTTGAGCTAGCTTTATCAAGATCATGATACAAGATGGAGTTGCTAAATTTGTTCATATATGCACACAATTGCAGGTGATTCGAAAAAGAGGCCTGGGGTATCCAATAGTTGTCGCTTCCAGTCCGAAGGATACTAAAGCTTCATACTCCCTCTATGACCCGTCGGAAGTGTTAACTTTCTTGTTGCGTCTAGCAAGGTGGAGGAAAAGCTCTAGTTCGAGCAGGTCACTGTCTCAGGTTTGGGGTGTAAGCAGTTGAAACCAAGAATTAGTACTACTGCGCAGAGAAAATTGTAGGATAGAAATAAACATACAGAGGAAATTGCAGGAGGGGGCATGAACAGGAAACAAGTTGTTTGACCCATTTTATTTGTTGTTTTGTACGGTATGCTTCGGCTTGTAAATTAGTAATCGAATTCAATATAAATACAAAATATATATATATATATATATATATATATGTAAATTTGTAGATGACTGCATCTTAACTGACATTGTTTTCTTGGGGTGTGGGTACGAAGTACTTCTGATATTTTGATGTTCGAACACCTTATCTAAAAATTTTGGCAAGCAACTAAGATCATCTAAAAAATTTTGGGAAGCAGCTCTAAGATGAAAGATAAAAGACGAAACCAAAGACAGCTTAGTATCTATCTAGTCTTTCATTTCTAAAGTGCCACCATTAGCAATCCAAATGAGGGTCTGAAGTCCATATTGCAAATGCCAAATCGCAATATTGTAATTCATCTCAAAATAATATCAAAATATCCATCTTAAAATAAGATCAACCAAATTGATGATCGATGTAATGTAAAGCCCACTAGTTTGGTTCACCTCGTGAAAAATATTATTTGAAAAACTAATCCAAAATTAATATTTTGAAAAAAAAAAAACATTGGTACGAGAAAAATAGTTTCAATGTGTTAAAAATTTAGTCAACTCTTTTAACTACTTTATTCAAAATTGACAATTTACCAATGCCTCATAATCTTGAACTGGCAGCTACCATTTGTCCCTTTCAAAGGAGCTCAAGCTCCATTGACAAACCAGATAAATTAACAGAAGGAGCTGAACAAGATTGGGCGGACCAAGTTCAAAAAAAAAAAAAAAAAAAAAACAGATTGGGAGGGCCAACTAAAAGAGAAAAAAATTTACTGTTTCAATATTAGAACCTGAATCTCTTACGCAACTCAACATGCCCAATCAACCATCAATAGCTTGCAATTGTTGGCAGAGCATATTGGTTTGAACCCTTCTGAAAAAATTGCAACTAAAAAGATGGAACTTGATATTTTTCTTGTCTAATCACTTTTTGACAGTGTTTTTTATGCTATAAGATTTGAACCAAGTTCATGCAAACCTAATGGGTAATAATGACCCATTGATCGGATTGAAGAAACTAGAGTGCAACCTGTACTTCTCATCTACGACTCCAAGTCAATGAGGTGACTCGAGAACCATTAGGGGGACACTCAAAACAATAATCGACTTGACTTCCCCCTTTTCAATTGCTCGCCCATCTACCACTGCGTGCACTCCCTTCCCACATTTCTTCATGTCTTTCAGATCTTCATCAAAATGGGCATAATCGGTATCCATACTTTGTAAAGTATGTTCAACAGGCGCACTGGTATAAGTACGGTGTAAACCAGCAAGCAAAAGATCAACCATTCCCTAAGAGAGGCAAACTGGAGGAGGACGAAGTGAGGCTTACCTGTGCAGTCCCCCTTCCTTCCCATCCACATCATCAGCCTGGTTCATATACGTAAGAGGAAAATCTGCTTTCTGTGACTGCATCTGGCGCTGATCTAGCTACATAATCAAATCCTCCTGATAAGAAAAGTACATCAACCATATCACACACTACTCTGATAAAATATGGTATGACAATTAACAAGTGTAAATCACAAATTTCAGGTACAAATGAAAATGGCAATTAACAAGAAGCTTGGCAAGAATGCTATCCAGTTGAATAGTGCCCCAAACATGGTTGAACAAAATTTTTATAAGCTTCAAAAATAAGATTGTCCTTGTGTCGACCAGTAATCAAGAACAGCATCCTATCGATCACATTTCCAGTTAAGCTACTTGAACTAACAAGTATAAATGGGCCCAGTAAGGGCAATCCACTTTTCATGACAGAAATTTATAAACAACTCTGAAGCTCTTTCTAGAAATCTCTTAAAACTTTATTACATCCCTATTGATTGTGCCATCTATGATGAGAGGAAGAGAGAGTACCTGTGAACCCAGGGTGAGGATGGCTGATCTGGAGAAGAAAGATCAGAATCTCTTTGAATATCTTGTTGTTCATTGATGCTCCTTGATGATTCTTCGCCAAGATGTGGTGAAGCCTTATCACCACCTGTGAAATGAGCCGGTCCAAGGGACCCAAATTCTAGATGCTCACCGGGAGAACTGTAGCCCATGTTTTGGTCATATGGATAAAGCATAACTACAGATGCAGAAACTCCACTAGGATTCTCAACTGGTACTGGTGGATACACGCTATATGCCACATTGGTAGAACCACGGTTTGTGGAGTTCGAGAAACTAAACGAACCATTGCGGGGATGGTATGGTGGAAGAGAATCTTGCTTTGAGTTCCATGACCTGTCAGAACGACGATTATTTCCTGTACTTCTATCCATCCTGAATGGCTTCTCACCTTGGTTCTGACTTTGGCTGCGAGCACCAAATCGTGGTCTTGAGTTGTTATTCCAGTTTCCTTCCCTATCATCATGGTGGTCCTTCCTGTCATAGTTGTAATTTCCTCTGTGGTTTCTAGTATTGGAAGATTGTCGATCCCTATAAGATATTTTCTGAAGAGAGAGAAGAAAATTTATAATAAATTACAATCCTCTCCAAACAGGCAAGAAAAAACTCCACAACTGAAAACAGAAATCAATGCCAAAAGGAGATGAAAATAAAAGGGAAAAGGTTGATCAACATCAAACCAAAACGTGAAGAATGCCACAATTCAATTAAAAGCAGCATAAAGTTAAAAATTACAAGAGGTTCTATGGGTTCAAAGACAGCATACAGGACTCATAGCATGTCTTGATTCGAAAAATATTACAGCTGCATCGAGCCACGTCTATAAGAGTTATAAACAACCATATTGCCATGCTCATACTTCTAACAGAGTATATCTGATACTTGTTTTGCATTACTCAGCATAGCTAGCAATGTATGCATGAAGAAATATAACCTTAATGCTATAGCTGCATCGAGCCACATCTACAAGAGTTATAAACAACCATATTGCCATTCTCATACTTCTAACAGAGTATATCTGATACTTATTTTGCATCACTCCGCACAGCTAGCAATGTATGTATGAACAAAGACAAATCAACAAATAAATAATCACCGTTAGCCAAAAATTCAAGAAAGCATTCTTTGCAGAACCTTATGAGTTAATCTGTTGTGTAAGAAAGAGATCACCATAGCATTAAAACACACCTGATGTGCCAGAAGCTACAGCTATTGTTCAAAAAAAAAAAAAAAAAAAAAGCTGCTACATCCGCTCTTTAAATTTGTAAATATTATATTTTGACTCAAGACCTATATTCCTCCCTCTTGCATCAGATCACAAGGATACACTCCTAAACAGAGACAATTCTTGGTTTAAAAGAATAAGGGAATGCTTAAGCAGGCAGCATTTTGGATGAGGCAAAATAATAGTCATTGACAGAACAAAATCAAACCAACCATGGTGATGCAGAGATGCTAAAAACGCATTCAACAACAATAATAACAAGAATTCCTATAGCAAAAGGTTGGCCAGATTCTCTACACCTTGGAGTACCTTCTACAAGTCACTCGTTTCACTGTACACAACCTTTCATCTTTTCTAGTTTCAGAACTATTTCGAGAATTAATAAGCAAGAACGAATGAAAAAAATGACTCATGGAACACCCACAAAAATCTAAATTTTTTTCAACACCTATAAAACTACTGCATTCTGACATAACAATCATCATGGTACCAGTCCTGATAAGATCGAGCCGTCAATTTTTTATGCTTAGAATACAAGCCTAAGTGATTAGCAAGCCCAAACACCAACATGAACATTATCTATTTGGTTTTAAGAAAAAAAAACTTATGCCTTCAGTGAATGGCATCCATGATAAGCCATGCCAAACTTCCTGTAAAATGCAGAAAATGCAGCCAACTAAATCTACTAATTGTAAATACAATGAAATCAAACTTTCATGAGATATATAACCATTGCAACAATTCATGCTAATATCCTGGTCCTCAAATTACGTAGAGAGATGGAAGATGTTAGGCATAGTTCTTTACCAACAGAATTTATAAGGAAAAGAAAAGTCAATTTACCGGATTGGGCAGGTAGGTTCCAGTTCCAGCACGGTATCTAGGAATATCATCAGCATAATGTTGATAAAAGCCCGCTTGCCTACTAGATCCTGGTGGGACAGGAGAGACAGGGATAAGATGAGGACCATTAATATGTTGAGTGAAGAGGTTCATGTTTGCAGAAGGTCTTCCAGGACCATCCCATGGAAAATGTTCCTGCAAATACATATCAGGTCCTACAACAGGAGTTGGATGGGGCAAGGAATCATTATTTCGAGCATTCTGGCAAAACCGCCCATATTGTAGATTCTGCCAGTGGCTGGCAAAATCACTATTCAAAATGTCAGATCTGCGCCATTCAGAATGCACCGAGGAAGAAGCATTATTCACAGATGTAAAAGTATTTAAAATCTCTGACCGGTCAACATTCTCAGATGAATCCAAACTTTGATTCGATTGATTGTTTTGAGAGTTATCAAAGTCTTCATCCCTATCGAATTTTCTGGTGGACATTTTAGAAGTTCCTGCTTCGGGTGGAAGATTGTATACTGGAATAGCTAGAAAAGGCACCGGAGGTCCTGTGGGATAAAATGCAAAGGGTAGTGCTCCATGGTTATCGTTAGTTCTCTGCTGTGATTCAGGACCCACAAACATCGGAGCAACTGGAAGCATTGAATTTGATCTGCTCACGGATGCTGGATCATAACTAGGTATTTGATGAGTCCAAACATGTGAAGAAGCACCAACACCAGAAACCAGGCTTTCTGATAGTTCAGTGCCTACTGTTGAAAGCGAAATCCACTCTCGTTTGTCATCATCCGGCTGCGAAGATATGAGTTCAACTGATTCGTCTTCATGTTGCATTTCATTCTTATCCATCCCATATGCAAGAGAAGGATCCATAGAAGGAACAGATTTCTTTCCCTGCCGATCCTTGGTTGACTTATAAGTCCTTAAAAGTGATCCATCACCATTATCTTCAGATTTGCTTCCTGAGGAAGATGCTTGTGAAGAAGGAACAAATCTTAAGCTGGCTGACGAATAAGCATCAGACTCTCTAGGTATTTGATGTTGAGCATCGTTACTGTAATTTTCCCTAACGAGACCTCTGTCCTCTGGATTTAATCCATGATCCCTTGGTGAGAAACTGCCAGGGCTACTTACACGAGATGAATGGACATGGTTAGACTCATGAGAAGCAAATGGATGCCTATGCTCCTGCGGTCGAGATTGGGAGCTTCTGTTCTTCTGTTGATGTCGTAGAGAAACTGCATCTGGCTTGGACCAGAAACCATGATCGCTCTCCTCTTGACTCAACTCTATAGATGCCAATTTAGCATTAACCTTTTCGATCGTCACTTCTTGATCTGAGGTCATCCCCATGCTTGGAAAATATTGGGAAACTGGATATGGAATAAAACCTTGAGTATAGTGCATGTTTGACATCCAAGTGGACTCAAAAGGAGCATTTATGGGAACTGTGCCAGTCATATGTTTTTGAGCATATCCAAGGGAAGCTAATACGGAAGGTGGTATTGCAAAAGGTGGTTGACCGGAAGCTAAGTTCACAGGCATCTGACTCTGTTCATTGACACTATAACCACTGAAAGATGCCATGTTAACGCGATCTTGCTCTTCTTGATGCAACTGCATTGTTTCTGAGAGAGAAAGGTGGTCTTCCATGGTTCCTTCACCAGAATCACCAAAACAGCTATTTGAAGCACTAATTGAATCAACAGCAGCATCAATGCTTTGATGGGATGAGCTATGCCTTGAAGATAGTGAGTCTTCAGTTGAAAATCTTGCACCATGGTTATCCAAAACCTCAGGAATCAAATTTCTCCTCCTGCTATTTTGTGACCTTGCAGAAGAATTCTGGCCATTTGCTGTCTCTGATGTCCTGTTATGCCTCCCTCGAGACTGGACTTCACTGGATGTATCTGTTAGTTCCGGACTGGATTGAGTCCTCGCAAATTGATACCTAGCATGAACTTCATTCCCCAAGTAATCTGTTCCGGAACTCGTCGTCTTTTCATTATGTGCATTCTCATTCAAATTATTGAATCTTAAAGTTTGATTATTCTGATGCAACGCCGTCGAGTTAGTCAAGTTGGCTTGCATTTTCTGGCCTGGAGTACCAGAAACAGCTGATATATTACCAGGCCTGGGTGTTCGTTTTAGATTGTGGTTACCATGCTGGGAGGAAACACCATCAGATGCATCAGCATGAGTCACCCCAACCTTAGATTGATTACCAGAATGATCCTCTTTTGTCTTCTTTCTGCTTGAATAATTTCTGAAAGTCTCAGAACCATCAATTATATTTGACTTGATTGGGCGCTGAACAATGTGATTGAGACTTGGAGCATCAGGGCGATGACCTTTTCCGTGCCTGTCCCATGTGTTCAAGAAAAACTGGTTGAATTCAGCAAGCAGATTCTCTTTTGGACAGTCAAGTAATCTGGCCAGACGTTGAGCTCCAAAAGCAAAAGCACTACGAATCCTAAAGAAGTTACCTAGCAAAAAAATTTGGAACTAAGCAATTAGACAACACTAATGGAAACAGGAGCATAAATAAAAGGTGACATCCCTGTTTGATATTTCTGATATCATGTTTAACAAGAGAAGCATGTGGCAACCACTGAAACTACCTCGGTCCTTGAAACATAAGGATAGATCAACACAAATCAGAGCTGAAAGACAATTAAGAAAGTACTCCAGCTGACAAACAGCAGCGTGCTTCTATTCAAATAAACTCAACTAGGTCTCAGTTCTGCCACTAGTTGAGATGCCCACATGGAGCCATGGATCATTTTTCCCCATACCATCTTGGGCCAAACTCTATGTTAACTTCATGATATCAAAAGCATAGTGTGTGACTGTGTGAGTGTCTGTCTGCAGTGATATGGAATATGGACACACATTCATTGATGCATACATATGCACAAACAACTCTCCAACTCAACATGAGTGAGAAAGTTATTCCAACTTTAGTTCAGAGCAATACCCTTACTGACACTACGCCCAAGATTGTTATTTGCACGCAAAGGATCAATGACATTAAAATATTTCGAAACAAAGGACTGCTCCTGATTTTCCTGCCGGCTAGGGAAGACCGCATACACAGAGCTGCAGACATCTAGAAACAATTTGCTGAGGAGTATCTGTCCGTCATCCTTTCGTGGAGAGAGTGCTGTAACATTTCAGAAAGTGAATTCAGAACCAGCTATTGACAAACAACCAGCAGAAATAAAACTAAAAGCATGAATTCTGAAAATATCATTCACGGGATCCATATGTACCAGTCATATCAGGAAGTGCACTAATTGGAACTGGACCCCAGAGGCTAACGCAAAAGCTCTCCCAGTCAAATTTACTGAAAAATTCCAGAAAGCGATAGAGTACCTGAAGATACAACAAGAAACTTTTCAGGTAAAAAAGGCAAATGCGTTGAAAAAACTCAAATTTAAGAGAAATAACAATTTCACCTCAAGTGGCCCAGCAAACGTATTATTGAACACATGGAATATGTACAGAACCAATGTCTCCAGAGCGTAAGTTGAAATAAGGCCATGGTGAGCACCCAAAATGCGGCTCTCATAGTAACACCAAGCTTTAATCAATATAATGCTGCGCTTGAATAGATGGTTTTGGTTTATCAATTGGTCGACCTTAAAATTTAGAGTTGTCATTAGTGAGAGCTGAGAGAGAGAGAGAGAGAGGTGCACTCAAAAAAACACAAAAATAAATTTGGAACCTCTGTCCGGGAATTAAATATTTCACCTCCTCAAGGAAGCAAAGGGTACACAAACCACCAAGCTGGTCAAAGGATATGTCTACTACAATATTTTCCACAAGACACTTTATGATCTTCACCTGCAAGATGATAGAAGCTACAATCATGAATATTTGGAGACTGCTGATTTCTATTTGAAGAAAGGAAGGAAAAACTACATCAGCAGCATTTTAACAAAACAACCAAAGAGTGAGTTATATATGAGTAGGATAGAAGCAAAAGAAAAATCAGAGTTAATTAATCTATATAAAACTAATTGAAGCATGCAACACATAATAATAATAGAAACACAGTTGAATAAGCCAGAATGTAGTGGAGCTCCATGAGTAAATCAAGAATAGAAAATGCACAACAACAAAGAGGAGGGGAAACAAAATGAACATGAGGAAATTTTCCTTCCTTTCCTCCTCTTTCTTTTCCTTTGCTACACCGTCATCAATCTTTTCAATCACCAATGAAACTTCATTTCTTGATTTCCATATGGCAGAGAAGAAAGTATGACATTCTGCAGAACAGCCCAGAAATCTATGTGTCCTAAGCCCTCTAAAGCAGAAATTAACCAGTTTCAAACTCACAACATGATTATTTCAGCCCAAGCCATTCTACAGGTGGTACCATGGTAGTGAAGTTGGAACAATAAAAATGGCTTGCCTGAACCTTTTGGATTGTTGCTTCCAGTTAACCATTCTTGCAGAAAATGTAAACCAAGTAAAATAGAGAGAAATATCTCTATGAGGAAAGAAGCGTCAAGAATATACTGAAAGGGCATACCTCTGCCTCGATATACTGAACCTCTTTTACATGGAATTCAGCATTCTCACTCTTTTCCTCATGCTTTAAGATGTCCCGCACCTCATTGGCCCATGTTTTCTTCAAATTTTGGTCCTCACTAAAAACTGTTAAATCAATATCTCCATCAGGTAGGTAGGTCTTGAGGGGCACAGACCCAAAGGTGAACACCTGTGATAATAAAAAGTATAAATGTAAGATGAAATGAGCCAGTAAAACCTTTTTCAATTTGAGTCATTAGAACTAATTGGAAGAAAGAAGCTTAACACATTGTTCTCTCAGTGTATGACATCATTAAATGAACTTGACAAAAATCCGCCTCTGGTTACATGTGAAAATTTCAAAATAAAGTTGTAAGGCGTCCGGTAGTAATGGAGATATCTCTTTTGCTCATCTATCTTCTGAATTTATTTTGAAGATGTCATCTGGTGTTTATTTTAAAGTTTCACTTTGGCCATCTACATATTGAACACATAATTTTTCCAACTTTCAAAAGAAAGAGAAAACCCTGCAATGGAAGGAAGGTATCCTTTATAATTTTTATTTATTTATTTATTTATTTTTTTTGGGAGGGGGGGGGGGAGTTCAATAGCTTGTTCATCCCATGTATAATTCCCCATGCAAACATTTTTCTCTTCCCAAAAGATGTCTAATTAACATTGTAAACAAAAATTAAGTTACTGTTATTCAAGCGTCTGTGTAAAAAAAAAAAAAAACTGCAAAGAAGTTACTTATCCAATCATTCTTGCCCTGGCTCAAGTTTTACATCAATAAAACATCAAAGAAAGGCGCATGACTCTCACATGGTGCTTCTCATTCGTGTACAAAGTGAGAATGTACATCACTCAGTTATTACAAAATGACTGAAAGTTATAGTGTTTGGTAAAACTATGACAACCTTCATCCTAAAAACCTCAAACCAAACAAAAACCCAACATTTAACAGCATTCAAGAAAATTAACGCATAACCAAAGATAAATGAATAGGGAAAATTAACCAAACCTGACAGGGGAAGCACTTCATTATAAGGTGCTGAACATAGCCTAAAACAGCATTTCGCCGCTCCTCAGATGGTTGATTGGGCTGAATACAAGCAATAAGCTCTGAAGTTCTCTCTTCAGCAATTGCCCATCTCTCTGGCTCAAGTGCTTGAGTTACAGAGGTAGCCTCATTAGGCAAGAGACCATTAGGGGAAAAGCCACTGGGACGAACCCAGTCCTCGAGACCACCCATACAATGCTGACCCTTTGCAGTCCCAATCTGTATGAATTAGCTTCCCATTTAGAAAATAAAGTAAGAGGAGAAACATATATAACCATTTCTCAAATTATTAGGAAAAGAGAGGACGTAAAATTATTTTTATTTTATTGAACAGATCATCACCAATGCATACCATCCTTATAATCAGTAAGAAATTAAAATTCCAGAACACTTACCATCAATTTCTAAAGGGATAAGTATCAGGACAACACATACAAACACACGTAGGAGGGAAGGATTATTAACAGGCTAAGACCCAACACATAAAACCAAAAAAAGGTAAATTATACAGTGCAGAAAATGCCAAAATATTGTATCCAAGTATACTCATAAGTACACCCAATTAATAACCTTCAGTTGGCAACAAACCAGAGGCAAGAAAATTGAAAAGATTTCAAAGCTATCATACATGTCCACTCTTTGATTTTGGCATGTACTCAAAGCACCAAGATATAAATTACTGGCCAAAAATAGGTAAATTCTTTGCCAGATTTGACAGAAAAATCAAATCTTAACAGATTCTAGAAAACATCAGTTCACTTAATGATATTCAGAATAATACTAGTCCCAGCTTCTTTATAAAACAAACAATGCAAGTACATTCTAAGAGTCCTTTTCTTAACACTGCCGTTTCTTGGGTTTGAGCCTAAAATCCTCCATCATGCAACTGGTATCCGGCTATTCACATATACACATTATTAAATTTAATGCGACCACCACAAACCTAGATATAAACAATGAAAGATTGTTGAAAAACAATCCACACATCTCATATTTTACAACCAAGTCACTAAATTAGAACCGGAATGCATTAACTCGCGCCTGTAATCGTCCTTGAAATATAATCAAAGCATTTCCATATATGCGTCCAAATCTCTAAATCACCATCAAGAACAGCACAAGCACATACAAAGTCAAATCGGCAGGCGTGCACGCACCCATTTATACTCCACTTGGTAATCAATTAAAATGCAGTGAAATAAACAGCAACAAGCACTACAAAATGCAACCGTTTGGCTCGTCAAACAAACACTGCTGAAAAAAAATCAAAATTCCTCTTCTCCTCACCAAACCTAAAATTAACATAACACAATCAAACAAACTACAGCTAAAAACGCGAAATTAATAAAAATAAACACTTCACCCAGTTAAAAAAAGCAAGAATTTGAAGTATACAAAGCTAAAAAGAAGTGAAATTTGAAGAAAAACTCACTTGATCATGCAAATTTAAGCCAAAAAAAAAAAAGAAATCACAGTACTCGACGATTACACGGCTGCAACAATGGAAATGTACAGAGAGAGAGACGGAGAAAAAGAGAGAGAGAGAGGGAGAGAGGGAGGGAGTGGAGGTTAGGGTTTTGACGAGTAAGAGAGAGAGAAATCTTGATTTGGGATTTTTATAGTAGCAGGAGAAGAGTAGAGTGTAGGAAGAATAATTTATTTTCTGTTGATAATAATTGGAAACCGAAGGAAATGATGTGCGTGCGTTTTTGTTGCTGCTCTGTTGGTTGCTGCCTACAACGACTGAACTTCATGATTTTTTTTATATATATATATATATATATATATGTATGTGTGTATGTATGTGGTAGGATAAACATGAAAATTTAAAGATTTAGTTTCCATAAGTAAAAACTGAATTTGAATATTTTGACTATAAAAATATAAAATCTTGTTACTTATATAGTAATGTTCTAATATAAATAAATAACTTGTTTGAGTATGCAATTTAGTTTAATTTATAATATATAATTTCACGTGCTTATAAATTATTACTTATGCATATTTGATCTAATTTAATTTGTTTCGCGTAATTTTATTTATTTATAGATGATTGCTTATAATATTTTTTGTGTTAGGTCTAAGATATTTATTGATGAAATTTTTAACGTTTAAATATAGGCGAGTAGTTCATTTGCATATATGATTTAATTCAATTTATAATGAATGATTTCATATGTTTTTGAATGATTACTTGTAGTTTTTTTTTTTTTTTTTGTATCTGAGATATTCATTAAGGATATTATTATTTGAGTTATCTTATGACAACTTGCTATATTTAAAAGAATGTTAAAATTGATTTTGAAAAAAAAAAAAGTAGAGGAGGAGTTGTACCTCCTTTTTCAAAAATAAACTAGCAATAACTATATAATTATTTAGAAGGAAAAAACAAATACGCTATCGATCCCAATAAATTGTACGTTTTTTTTTTTACGTGCTCTAAATGTTTGTTTTGTCAAAATTTTAAGCTCTATATCTATTTAAAACATTCCTAATTAAAGTCCATTTTGTTAAAATTCATCCGAATACAATTTAAAAAATTAATATTTAAGGAAAGTACAAAGAAAATATGTTAATATAACAAAATAATAAATAACTTTCTTAATTTATATGAAAAGTCAAAGAAGATAATTTTTTCTAGATAGAAAGAATAATTGGTTTAGCCTATTGTGATCTACGAGTACCATTATTGTTACTAAAACCACTTCATTTACCTTGCTAAATGTTAGAACATATCTCACATTAAATAGTTAAACCAATAATAAATAATATATAAAGTTAAGACGGGATTACCCACCATAAGGTTTAAGTCTTTTGGATAAAACTCAATCTCAACTATCTAACTCTATATGGTATCGTAGCCTCAAAGAGACCCAACGGCCAAAGAAAGATCCCGGAGTCTAAGCCATTTGACGGACCCCAAAAGATAGGTCGTAAGTGAGGAGGAGTGTTAGAATATATCCCACATTGAATAGTTAAATCAATAATAAATAATATATAAAGTTAAAAAAGAGCAATCCATCATAAGGCTTAAGTCTTTTGAATGAAACTCAATTTCAACTATCTAACTCTATACTAAAGAATTTGATTTCTAGTTACAATGTTGTGGCCTTTTGTTGGTCGCAACTATGCATCATATGGTTTCATTCTTGAATTTACCCTTAGGTTTTGATCTCGACATAGGTATAATGAATGTTGGATACCATAAATATAATGCATTTTACTAAAAATTTTGAATAGTCTATTTATTTTTATTTTATATGTGTGTGCGTGTGCGTGCATGCATGCTTTCACTTATGTTTAGTTTTTTACCGTAAAAAAAATATTTATAAACTTAATACTAATAACTAGACTTTTACAATGAAATGGCTTTAAATATGGTGGATTGAGTGGTTGCAATGGGTGTTTTCATCCATTCTATTGGATTTTAAGCCCATTTCTGCATTGTTTTGCTTTTAAACCATTTTCTAACCATTCGTTGAACACGTCCAGGATGATGACCAAATTGATTGATCCAAATCTTCCCACCTTTGAATGAGGAGATAGATACCTTAACTGAGCCTACCCGCTGATCATGGAAATGTGGAAATTTTGCACTGGGTTGCTAGATGGGTAGAATCTAGTATTCCTGACAGATCGTGCCCAAATACCACTAACCATTCTATTTATGTTTTTGGCATTTCCTATAAAGATTACCGACTTCTTCTTCTTTCCTTTTTCTCCTTTTGATCTTCTCTTTTTCCATTTTTTAACAGATAGATTCGAGTATTGATACCCCAGTTTGAGGATGAAGATAATGCAGCCCATTCTGTGACTGCCACCAACTTGTCCCCTCTCTCTCTCTTTCTCTCATGCCACAAGTTGCTGTGCTAAAAAGGGCAGATTTTTTAGCTATTTTCAACCATATATGTAGTTACAAATTGTGAATAAAAAGCTGCTTCTTCTTCTTTTTTGTTTTTTGTGATAACAACTCTTGCTTTCGTTATTTCTTTTGGTTTTTTTTTTTTGGTTTTTTTTTTTTTGTTTTTTTGAGAAGGGTTTAGCACTATGGTTAAGAAATTAAAGAAATAAATAAGAAAAACAAAAGTGAAATTCCAATTTAGTGTCTTGATTTTGCCTTTTCCAGCTTGAAAATTAGAATTCGATGTTTAAGCATAATGTTCAAACAAAAAAAAAAAAGAATCTAAAACGGGAGAAACCAGAGTATTTCAACCCATTATATATGTTCTAGAGGAGGAACCTATCCCTTTTTAATTCCCAAAAATTTATAAAACCAAAACTGACTATGCATCTCCGAAGGAATAAATTATGAATTAGTCCATTTGATTTTGTAAAACGAATTAAATAATCTTTTTATTAGGAAAGCTAATTAATTAGTTTATTTATTGGTGGTGATCATAATTAATTTAACATTATTTTGGTTCGAAAAATATATTCTTTTGTCATCAATATTTTCATATATTTTTCTTAGTTTCTTTTTTGTTTATTAAAACAATAAAAGGAACAGAATAATTAAAAGAATAAAAAGATTGAGCTACAAATAGATTTAAAAATATTCTTGTTAGTAATTCTCGTTAGGTTCACATGTGAGTGGTAACTATTCTATATTGAAAAAAATTGAAAAGTTTGAGGTCTCATGATCATATAGTCCAGGCTATTGGGTTTTCATCTTTGTGGGTAAGCCTTATTGTGTGCACATTAGGTGCGAGCTCGAGTGACTCTCCAACGCAAGTTCTCCCCCTGCAAGTGGTGTTAGAACCAATGATTCGATTTAGAATGAGTGGTGATTGTGGTTAGCCTACCATGGCTTTACCGATTTCTCCATGGTTGAGCAAAAACAGCTAAGCTTCTTCAAGTTCTGATTATCTTATTTGAATTGAAATGATGTAAATGGTAACTATCTATATTGAAAATGAATGAAAAGTCGAAGTACTTATATACGAAATGTACTCTTGACCTTTTAGTCTAAATTTTTGAATTAAGTTAACGTCTATCTTTGTGTGTGAGTTTTTTCGAGACGGACTCAAATTACTCTTCAATGCAGATTCTAAGGTAACTTTGACATGAAAAAAAAAAAAAACACAAGCAATAACAAAAATTAATTAGTTGATCGATGGTGCTCTTATCTAATCATCTTAGAATGCTTTGTCGTATTAAAATAAATATTAAATTGATTTTACAAGGAAAAAAAATCTATGTGAAATGGGAAAGCATTAACACATGTTTAAATAGAAAGACTCACCCAAAGAAAATGTTTCTCTCAAAATACAGTTGGATTCTTAAATGCAATGTGGACATCTTCTTAAATTATCAAATATCATTGAATTCGAAACGACAAAAATATGAATGAAATTT